AGTTCAGAAAGTTCAAAAAAAAGTTCAGACAATTCGCGAAAAAAAAAACAAAAAATTTTTTTTTGCCTAATCGGTCAACCGGCCGGTCGACCACCCGGTTGTCCCGGGATAGATTTGGTGAAAGGTGAACCGTTGGAGCGAGTGGTATCAAATTTGGTAAAATAGATCATTTTTTACTCAAATTTAGTGAAAAATTTGAGTCACTGTTGGAGATGCTCTTAAATATACGAATGAGTAGAATGCTTACGTTTTTTGCCCATTTCGACGAAGAAGATGATGAGACGACGGGACGATGCGACGAAGGAACGAAGACAGTCTTCTGGGCGTAGGGACGACGAAGAAGATGATGAGACGATGCGACGATGGAACGAAGACAGTCTTCTCGGCATAGGGACGACGGAGAAGATAATGAGACGATGCGATGATGCGACGATGGAACGAAGACAGCTTTCTGGGCGTTGAGGCGATACGGAACATGGATTTGGATTTTTGGACTGTAGAGATACTGTGCGTGATTTCCTGCGCAAGAATAGAGAGGGGAAGAGAGACGGTTATTAGATTCAAAGAGAGGGAGGCGCGTGTTTGTTTGAGGGTTTTTTTTGGTCTTTTTGTATGAAATGGACCTAGTGGAATATTATAAAACAGTATGGGTCTTATGAAATAACAACACTCTTAGATAATGGATTTACTGAAAAAGCACCCATTTTTTTTTATTCGCTTTAATTTTTTTTTAAAATTTTGTTTAATTAAAATATAATGCAAAAGAATTAACATATTTAGAATAATTTTTTAAATTTTCATAAAAAATATGTAAAAAATAAATAAAAAGATAATTTTGACTCTTTTTTTTGTTATTATTGTTGTATAGGATCTAGGATGCTTGCTGTGCTGGGTACATAGCAGGCCTTACGAGTTCATTTTGGGGTTCGATTTGATAATTTGAACCGTTCACATTTTAAAGTATATCAATTAGAACATACATATAAAAAATCAAGTTAATCGGATATCGTTAACTCTTTTATTTACTCGCATTTGTATTCATTTTAATACTTTAAATCACAATGTCATTTATTTTTGTAAATACAAATTTGAGTAGATGAAAAGGTTAATGATATCCGATTAACTTGATTTTTTATAGGTATATTTTACTTGATATACTTTAAAATATGAACGGTTTGAATTATCAAACCAGATCTTGAAATGAGCTCATAAGGCAGTATAGCAGGCACTCCAAATCCTGTTGTATAGCTTGTTAATTTTTGTCAATTTAGTAATTTTTTTTTGAATTCTAGGCTATTTTGTTAACTTCCCAAACAAGTCCTCCAACAGGTGCCAATTCCCCCCCCCCCAAAAAAAAAAAAAGAAAAAAAGAAAAAATCACTAAAGGCAAGTTCGGATATCTATTTAAATTGTTAAAAAGTCCCTATAAATAAGTTATTTTTTTTATTACTTTTCTACATGTGTTTTTGTAAAAAACAAAATAATTAATTTCCAAAAAAAATCATTAATTAATATTTAGTAGGAAGAATAAGGAAGTGAGAATTATTTGTTAATTTATTTTTATGCATTTTGATAGTGTATGAACAAAATACACATGTATGTAGTTCATTTAGGCTGGAATTTAAAAAAAATTTAATACCGAATCAAATCTTTTAATTTTGTTGGTTGACGAAGTGAAACTGACTTTGTCATCTTTTCGATTTTGGTTAAATAGGGGATAAGAGTGTTTTTTTTTTTTTTGAATTATTTATAAAATATATAAAGTTCACTTTGGCAATAAATGAAAAAGGTGGTGGGGAAATACTTTGCAAGTGTTTCTCTTTCTAATAATTTTTATTGCTAAATGTGTAATATTTGTTATTTATTTTTAAAATCAAAAAATTAATATATCAAATTATTTACATATAATATTTCGGTTAGTTTGGTTGGTATCACTGTAAAGTTTTTCAAAACTAACCAAAAATCGACCAAAAATTAAAATTTCAATTTGGGTGTTTGTGTAAATTTTGATGAGTCTCTCTCGGGTATTTGCACAGAATTAGTCAATTCCGTTGAGAGGTCCACAGTTAAGATTTTATTATTATATGTTATTTTTTCAATTGTCTTTAGTGTAAATTTATATATTTAATTAATAAAATTTATTAATAATATATGAATTTTTTATTTATATTTTACTTATAATTTTCTCTTCATTTGCAATAAGCAAATTAATTTTTTTACAAAATTCTTTAATAATTGACTCAATTGAGTTGAGTTAAACCGAACTCAAGTTTTTCAAATATATTTGAGAAGGTGAGCTTGACTAATCCTAGTAGACGAGCTCGAATATCCAAAAGCTCACTCAACTCGACCTGTTAGAATATCTAATTTTGGTGCATCAGGCCGCACAATTCTAGCATTTAGATTCAAATACAAAGAAAATCCTGCCCTTTACTAAATAATGTGTAAAATTGGATGCAAATATGAGATTTTTATTATTTTTTTCCTGGAAAATGAATTGGTTTTCATGATTCTACTTACCACTTAAATTGATTTTGCAGTTTCTCAAAACACGAAAAATATGAATTTCACTATGGTATATGTAAAAATTTTATACTTCCTTCTATGATTTTTTTCACAATTTATATAAGATATGCCTTAGATCATATCATTTCCCCAATATTCTATAGCATATTTTAGAGAGCTTTTTTGATAAATCTTTTTTCTAAGAGTTTTATTCCATCCAACCTATATTCTTTTTTACTATTTCATTAGGTCCTATTTGAGGTAAGAAGACCAAAATACCCTTTTCATCTACTTATGTTCCATTTAGTCCACATTATTTTCTTATGTTTCGATAAGCCCTATGGGTGACATAATTACCGAAATACCCCTAATGTGAATGTTTACATCGTCAATGTGAATGTTCACACCGTCAATGTGAATGTTCCTATTTGAGATAAGAAGACCAAAATACCCTTTTCATCTACTTATGTTCCATTTAGTCCACATTATTTTCTTTTGTTTCAATAAGTCCTATGGGTGACATAATTACCAAAATACTCTTAATGTGAATGTTCACACTGCCAATGTGAATGTTCACACCGTCAATGTGAATGTTCTTATTTGAGGTAAGAAGACCAAAATACCCTTTTCATCTACTTATGTTCCATTTAGTCCACATTATTTTCTTATGTTTCAATAAGTCCTATGGGTGACATAATTGCCAAAATACCCCTAATGTGAATGTTCACATCCTATGGGTGACATAATTATCAAAATACCCCTAATGTGAATGTTCACATCGTCATTGTAAATGTTCACACCGTCAATGTGAATGTTCATATCATCAATGTGTAGGGGCTCGGCCCAGCCCGGGCCGGGGCCAACCCATGTAAAGCCTTGTGGGTGCTTGCCAAAATTCAGGCTGGGTCGGCCCACGGGCCAAAAAATTAGGCCTAGGCCCTAGTCCTGGCACAAAGGTATTCAGGCTTTGGGTGCCCCGGTGGGTCGAGCCAAGGGGCTTGGGCCTATACTTGGGCTTGGGTGAGCCTCGCCATTTTTTTTTAATTCTTTTTCATTTTTTCTCCCAAAATTTTATTATTTTTCACAAAAAAGACACTGGGCCTCTGGCGGGCCGGGCCTCGGGCCGACCCTTAAATGGGCCTTATGCGGGCCGAGCTTCAAAGTGATGGCTCAGGTCCTAGCCCAAGTTCTCAGGCTGGGCTCGGGTCCAGGCCCAAACGAGCTTGCCCTGGGCCACGGGCCAATTTTACATTCCTATCAATGTGAATATTAACATGTCAATGTGAATATTCACATTGTCAACAGGTCGAACCCGCTCCGGGCCGCGGGCCAATTTTACACTCTTATCAATGTTAATGTTAACATGTCAATGTGAATATTCATATTGTAAACGGGTTGGGCCAGGCCCGCGGACGGGTTTCGGGCCACGAGTCAATTTTACACTCCTATCAACGTGAATGTTAATATGTTAATGTGCCGCGGGCCAATTTTACACTTCTATCAATGTGAATGTTAATATGTCAATGTGAACATTCACATTGTTAATCGACCGGGTCCGTCCTGGCTCGGGGGCGAGCTTCGGACCGCCCACGGGGCACGGGCCAATTTTACATTCTTATCAATGTGAATGTTAAAATATAAATATTTACAGCCCGCCCTACCCCGGGCAACGGGCGGGCTTCGGGCCGCCCACGGGCCGCAGGCCAATTTTACATTCCTATCAACATGAATGTTAACATGTCAATGTGAATATTTACATTGTAAACGGGCCGAGCCGGGCCGGGCCCTTTGGGCCGCCTACGGGCCGCAGTTTTTCTATTTTTTCTACTAAAATTTTATTCTTTTTCACTAAAATGACATTGGGCCTTGGGTCGGGCTTTGAGTGGGCCTTGAACTGGCCAATGAGCCGGACTTCAAAATGATAGCCTAGGATCCCGAGCTAGGCTCGAGCCAGGGCCTAATCTGGCCGAGCCGCCCACGAGCCGCAGGCGGGTTTCGGGCCACCCACGGGCCGCGGGCCAATTTTACACTTCTATCAATGTGAATGTTAACATGTCAATGTGAATATTCACATTGTCAACGGGCCGGGCCCGCCCCGACCCGGGGGCGATCTTCGGATCGCCTACAGGTCACGGGCCAATTTTACATTCTTACCAATGTGAATGTTAAAATATGAATATTTATATCATAAAATTGCTAACCGTTTAAAAATATTTGTTAGGGTATCAAAATTAAATATAAGGGCATAAGAGTCTAAAAAAAGAGTGCAAATCAAGAAAAAAGATTTTATGGAATAAAATTATACATACATGAGACTAAATGAGTTAATAAATTTCTTCATGGACTTTTTGGGTTAAAACACGTCTAAATGAGATTTATCAATAAAATCCCTTTAATATATATATATATATATATGCCTTATCTATGTAGTACAATATATTCTTTATATATACTTATCTTCTCTCCTATATAAAGAAATTTATACCATTCATTGATTATTGAATTGAATAGAAGAGTTTTCTTTTCACTTCATTCCTCTCTCTTTAATGTCATATCAATTACATACACAATGAACAAATTGGATGCAAAATGTAAGAACAGTTCTTCTACTAACACCAAAACTTAAAAAAAAAAAATCCGACACAACCTTCTTACATAGATTTAGAGACTCACCTCATGCGAGAGGGTTGTCTCCGAATCTGTGATCTATTTGTGTAAAAAAAGCCACTAAATTGGCCAAAAAAAAAAAAAAAAAACCTAACAGCAGCAGCAGCAACCCTGCTTATTTTCATCATACGGCGTCACAGCTCCTTCAACTTCAGGTGCTTCCTCGCCATCATCGTCTGCACATCCCCTATATGAAAACCATGTTGCTACCAAAACATACACCACAAGATTCACAGCACTCAACACTGCCAGTGTCCAATAGTACTTGTCCAATCGACTCATATTCAATGTATCCTTTAACCAACTCGGCTTCACCTTTCCCACCACATATACAAAAATGACATTACCCATCATTCCCAATCCAATCACTCCTCTTGTGAATAACACGAAATAGTCCCTCATCGATGGCGGACCCTGATCTTTGAAAAAACTCATGATCCCATTCTCAGCAACCCCATCAAGCGCCCCAAGGAGTAAAAACTGTGGAAGCAACCAAAACATACTCATTGGGATTTTCTCATCAGGCTTGTCGAGTAAACTGTGTTTTCTAATCACACTTAGCCTTCGCGTTTCCACACTTGCGGCAGTAATGCAAGTTAGGATCGCAAATGTTATTGATGCTGCAATGCCAATTGGGGGAGCGTAGTGTTTGAGTCCTGCTTCGCGGAGGTATTTTGTTAAAGTGAAGTATAATTTGGCGAATTGAGATTTTGAAAAGTCGTAGAACATTAGGAGGATTGGGAGAGGGAGGTTTAAGCGTCCAAGCTTGCGGTTCATGTGGTTTGCTTGCTCAAGAAAGAAGGTGTTTCCTATGGAAGTTATGATACCGCAGGCGATGAAAGTTAGCCACATTGGGATTATTCGAATGCCGATTTTGGTTTCTTCAACTTCTGTGACTCTACAGAGTCTCCATCTGGTTCTCTCTTGTTCTTCTCGAGTTTTGTTTGCCAATATGATCGCTGCCTTGTCTAAGCACCTGGTCCAAATCATGAAGACAATTCATCAAGAATTTAGTGCCTTTCCAATAAAAAAAATAATTCAGTATACAAATTTGATGAATTAGCAATTTTGAAGTTGGTGTTCTTTTCTCAAGTTCAATGACAAAGGATTAAGATAGAAAAGGAAAGGGGTAATTTACACTTTGCCCTTTATGTTTGACCATTTTTTTTATTTTGACTTTTCATGTTTCAAATTTTTTTCAATTTACTCTAAAAGTTAATTTATATTCAACATTAAACAGAAAATGACACATTAACAATCATGCGTCATAAAAATATTTGTTATATATAACTCTCATCTCTTTCACAAACACAAACTCTAATATAATAATATATTTTTATGTCATTTGACAGTTATTGTATCATTTTTTTAAATCTAATTTTGAATAAAATTTAACTTTAAGAGTAAATTGAGAAAAAAAGTGGAGAAAAAAATTTCAAGAGCCAAAATTAAAAAAAGAAGAAATAACTAAACAAAAAGGGGTATAGTGTAATTTAGCCAAAGGAAAAGTCTCAAAACCTGAGACTACCAGTGTGAGGCATCAACTTAGCATCAGTGCCATCTTTCTCATAAAGCTCATTTCCATCACTAGGAAGTGGTTGACACATCTTACAAACAGAGGCTACAAACACTCTGAACACAGTTGTTAATGGACTCCCCTGTGGCTTATCATACTTATATGAACAGGACCCACTCAAGAACAATAGTGTTGCAACCAAACTACATATTGCTGGAATTCCAAACCTAACAGACCATTGCTTTATATATGGAAGTGCAATGCCTCCAATTATGGGCACGAGAATGATGCCGAAGATGCCCACAATTTGCCACAGAAGTTTTCGTCCCGTGTCTCTGTCATTGCTAGCTGTTGTTTGTGCTGTGAAAAATGGTGGTAGAGAGACCGTGTGGCCAGAGATTCCCACGGCTATGAGAGATAAGGCAGTGTAGAAGAGGGCTTTTTGTGTGTGACCTATGCATTCTGGTTTGTAAGCACTGCAAGTGTCTGTGGATTTTGAGAGGACTGGTGGTGTTGACATGGATAGAAAGCCCAACCCCTGCACCCAATCATGTTATTATAATTATTTTGCATAAAATCTACCTATAAAATCATGTGTTCTATATAGCTTTGGCACAGTTTAAGTTGTTTCAATTACGGTTGTATGTAGCTATTTATTTTTTCTCAAAAGTTTATGCTTGGTAACTGTTGGTTTTCTAATTATTATTGAACTTTAACTGTCCAAATTGATATAATACTTGTCATATTTGTGTCAATTTTTTTGTTTGAAATTTCTAATTTAGGTGAAATTGTTTCAATTAGAGAACATTTAAATCGTTAAACCAAATAATTATAAAATTCACTTATGGTTCTTGAAATATGCATTTGTGTCACTTTGGTTCATAAAAATTCAAATTCTCAATATTTGTCTTCTTCATCAGTGTTTGGGGACCAAACTAACAAATTTAAAATTTTTGGGGACCAAAGTGACACGAAATTCATATTTTAGGGACTATATATGAATTTGATTATAACTACCGATACAATTTTGACAGTCCATTTGAAATTTAACCAATTTCACTCAAACTAAATTTTTTAAGAATGAAGTTGATAAAATTAAAACTTGGATGACCAAAGTGAAACAAAAATACCAACTGCATATGTATTTTATCCTGTTACTTTATATATATATATATATATATATTATCTGAAAAGAATTGTTGCAAGTTTCATAACAACCAAATCTTGAAGCTATCCAAACAATTCTGAGCATTAGCTGCTGCACAAAATTAATCTAGTATGGAATTGGCCTTAATGTAGTCCATGCTATTGTCTTATAGGTTTGATGGTTGGCGTTTGAGATTCAAAATTTCTCAGTTATAATGAAAATTAAAAATCTATTATATCTACCAGCTTAATAAAGCCTTAGGTGGTGTGACAATCACAAGAGCTAAAAAGAGCAGTCGCAAATAATTTCAACTCAAAAGCAACATCAAACTCAGAAACAAGCCAAAAAAACAGAGAAATTTCACAGAGATATTACTCACAATACAATAGGCGATGCTGGAGAACAGGAGCATTGCATAGTGTCCGATGAACATATCGACAAGGAAGGCAAAGCCTAGCGGCATTATGGAAGCTATGCCTCCCCAAATGTTTATAATTCCAGTAGCGTGCGTCAAATTGATCTTCCAAACATTCGTTAAGTAAGTCATCATCACCCACATCGCGTACCCAGCCAATATGTCAGCCCATATCAACACTATCATTGTTTTAAATAAGAGGATAACCGCAAAATTATATTAAGTACAAGAAAAATGATATACATAAATGGATTTTTTACTTGATTACCTGAAAGTATATGCACTTTGTTGTACTGTAGTGACCAATTTTTATTTATTTATTATTTTTTATGTCAATTTATTAGTCATGAAGCTATAAAATGTGAGTTTAAATGGTTTCTAGTATCCATATGGTCTAAATTGATTAAAAGGAGATGGGGCATTTTTTGAATATTACCCCCTTTTTTTAATTATTATTATTATTATTATTATTTTTTTAAAGATTGGGGAGAAAAATGCAATAATGTGTATACTTTGAGGAGAAAATGCAATAAAGTGCATATTTTGGGGGTGCAAATGCATAATTTGTGGACTATGTGTGCATATATATATATATATATATATTGTGAACAGAGGACTATGTTTTGAAAATAGCCAACTCGCATTAATCAATTTTGACTGTGTGAGCTTTTGGACTATTTAAAATCGCATTTTATAATTTGCAAATTAAATAGATAAAATTTAAAAATTAAAGATTAAAGTGTGATAAAATGCATAATTTCGGAACTAACGTAATTAGTCCTAATAATAATAAATAACATGTACTTGCTATTTTTATAGAGGCAAATGATATACAATACTACTTTTCTAGACCCACTTTCTAAATTAGAGAAGATGTAAGAAACAAAGTTGTCTTACATAATTTAATTGAGATCAATGCTACATCCATATAAATTCTTACTAATAATTTTACTAAAAATATACATGTCCAAGCATCATTAGATGCCTAAATGTCACTGATTTCTTGATAACCAATCACATTTGACCTATTGTATTTTTGGTAAGATTGTTACGTGTATACTTCGCTCTAAACACACCTCTAATAAGGTGAAAAAAAAAAACAAAAAAAACAGACACAGACAGTGACACCGGGTGGGACCCACTGCCACATCATTAGTGGCACCTCTAATTAAAGGTCCCAAGTATTTTGTTTTTGGACTAGAATACCTTCTTATAGATTATTGATTTGGACAAAATACAATTCAATGTAATTCTCTAAAATTAATGATAAACTTTATAAATATTAATAAAACATTATTATAAATTTTTCCATACATGTGAATTTTTTTGTTGAAAAATCCACCGGACTGTAAATTCCCACCCTTTTTTTTCAGCGCTAAATGCCAAACAGTTGTAATAAACAAAGACTCGTCTACCAAATCTTTATTAAAAAAAAAAAAAAGAAAAGAAAGAAAAAGAGTTATGTATGCCAATTGGCTGGGGTTTTGAAGTTTAGACGTTTTCATTAAAGGCTGTTTGGGTAGCTGGAAAATGAGGGAAAATTAAAGTCAAGACTCGGATGGAAGACGGTCTACACATGAAAATTATATGAGCTTAATCTTTAAACAAAGCTAACAACAATTGATAATACTTTGGATCTAGAACTAGAAGTCAAAGACCAGGTCAATTACCTGTAATCCTCACAAAGGTTGCCATTTATGCGTTGTCTTTTCCACTCTCACTTTCTGCAAAAGCAGGTTTAGAAGAAGAATAAGAACAGTTCAAGGGAAGCCCAAAAGTAGAATTTCAAAAGAACTAGTGTGCAATTTGAAGAACAGAGTAAATTGAGTTAAACAGAGCTTTTCAAGTGCATATGCAGAGTCAAGAACTAGAAAGAATTCTGAGAGTAATCTTGTTTAAATTCAGTAACTAATCAATAGTAATACAATCTTACCTCCACAAATAGCCAAGCACACTAATTTGAGGTAGAGAGAACTTTTTGCTCCTCAGTCCGTGTACTCGTATGTGTGAGATAGGAGACTGCATGGACAGAGATTGAAGTAAAACTTTGGATGCGCTTGTTACCCCTCCCCCCCAAAAAAAAAAATAAAAATGAAAAAATTGTGAATATTACTGCATATAGTATATAGTTGAACGACAATTTTCTGAGCAGCCAGCCAACTTCAAAGAAAACATATCTCCTCTTCCAAGTGATTTCAAAGAAACCTCGCCATAAGCTGCGTTTACTTTCTTTCTTATTAGTCTTTTGTTTGTTTGTTTATATGCAAATAGTATAATGAAAGACCATTGACTTCATTTGGTCCATACGTTTCACAAGAAGCAACTCTTTTTCATCGTTTGAATTTTTTTTTTGTGCAGTCCATTTCTTGTGGGTCAATCATAAGTTTTATTTTGATAATCGATTTGGTTAGTAGTTACATATTTATCAAAATTTTCTTAAAAAATATGAACGGGATGTTTTCAAAATTATACTCGTCTTCCATTACTTTGCAAACAAATATGATGAAATCATAATGCTATTATTAAAGGATTAATTTAATTGTTTTCCATTAATGATCTTTGCATAAAATTGAAAAATACAATTCAAATTATTAATTTAATATGAAACCTGGGATTCTTCCACTCTACCAATGTACCTGATCACATGTTATTGCAATCTCCAATCACAATCAAATTACCAACCGACTAAATAGTCAAAAGCTCTACATACACAATGGGATTTATTCAACTATCAATGTTCACATAATTCTATGGCATCATATAAATCATGTAACGCTCACATTAATTTTCACACTGCAAATATGATAATTAACAGAAAACAATATATGTGACCTAATAAATGTTGAGAACAGAAAATTCCGTGCCACCTAACAACAACATCGAGCATTGTCTTTAAAAGGTGCATTCGTGTTCTGGTAATTGGGAGCATCCTCATCTTCCAATTCTGATTGAGGATCTTCCAATTCTGATTTTCTGAAACGGTAAAAAAGTGCCGTCACAATGTATAAACCAAGGTTCACAGCACTCAACCAAGCCAGTGTCCAATAATACTTATCAAGCCGACTATGGTTCAATGTGTCCTGAAACCAACTCTGTTTTCCTCCTCTTTCACTCACCTTCCCTGCCACATACACTGATAGAACACTCCCTATACTCCCCAACCCCACCACACCGAAACCAAAATGGATCACGTATGCTCTCATTGATGGCCCAACCTGTTCAAAAAATAGATGATAACTTATAAGTAAACATGGAGTGAAGGTAAATCCTTAAAAAAACACACGACACTTATTGAAGAGAGAGGTATATAGTCACTGTCTGACAGATTTTCATTTTGAAATAAACTTGAAATTCTAACCCAACCTGATCAATAAAGATTGCGACAATGCTGTTTTCAAGAATCCCATTAAGGGCACCGATGAGTACAAACTGTGGAAGCAACCAGAACACGCTCATTGGAATTCTATCCTCTGGCTTGTCGATTAAACCGTGTGTCCTCACCACATTTAGCCTTCTTGTCTCAACTTTGGCAGCAGTAATGCAACTTAGAATTGCGAAAACCATTGACACGGCGATGCCTATGAGAGGAGCATAGTGTCGCGCCCCTGACCCACCTAGCTTGTTGGCGAGCTTGTAGTAGAGATTGGCGAAATGTTGCTTGCCTTGGTCGTGGAACCATAGAAGGATGACGATGGGGATTGAGATTTTGCCGAGCTTGTGGTTCATGTGGTTTGCTTGCTCGATGAAGTATGTGTTGCCGATGGAAGATACGACGCCGCAGAAAATGAAAGTCATGCACAAGGGGATCATTCGTATGGTGAGTTTAGTTTCTTCTACTTCTGTGACTCTGCAGAGTTTCCATCTCTTCTTCTGTTGTTCTTCTAGAGGTTTTGTTGGTTTTATCCAAATCCGGTCCAATCCGGACCATGTTCACCTCTAAAAAATAAGACACATGCCATATTTAGAGAAGACATTGCACAACTTTAAAGTATTTAGGAATAAAATTGATAAAAATGAAACTTTAGAAATTAAATTACACGAAATGCATATTTCTTGAAATAAAAAGAAGAAATTCAAAATGTTGAGAACCAAAGTAACAAATGCCATCCTGTAGGAATTAGAAATGAATCTTATTAATATCTCGCTAATGATTTAAATGCCAGTATGAAATTAGACCAATTTAGATCAAATCAAAATTAAAAAAATGAAATTGTTAAATTATAAATTTAGATAATGGATGTGACATGGAAAGGTTGGTTTAAAAAAAACAAAAAATGGCACCGAATACCTTAAACACAAATAACATATACAAAATCATGTGCTTTTTTTTTGTAATTTTTTTAATCTCAAATTAAAATATTCACTATTTAAACTCATAATCTTAAAAACGACATTCCCACATCATTTTTAAAATTTTTTTTTATTAGTAAATCATTTCTCATAAATAATTAAATAATTGAAATTGTAAATGTAACGGTTGAATATTTTAATTTGAACAAGTAGAGAGAGAGAGAGAGACCTTAGGCGACGGGAATGAGGCACCAAATCAACATCATCAACATTATCATCACGGGTTTCATAGAGCCCATCAGCCTCTTCGGGGCACTTACAAAACATCTTAGAGGTTGCAGCCACAAGCACTCTAAACACAGTAGTCAGCGAGCTCCCGCGTGGTTTAACACAATTATACGAACCCGAACCACTCAAGAATATCAGTGTCGCCACCACCGTACAAATAGCGGGTATGCCAAACCGAATTGACCATATCCTTATATATGAAATCGCCACAACTCCGCCTATAACGACAAAGATTGCCATGTATGAGGCCACAAACATGGTGATGCACGAGCGCGTACTGATGTTTTCAACGACCTCTTCTGTGACTTGCTCGGTCATGAATGTGGTTAGTGAAATTAGGTGACCAGATAGTCCCAGGGCTATTAGAACTAGTGCTGTGTAGAAGAGTATTTTTTGTCCCTCGCCAATGCATTCGGGCTCGTATAGACTGCAGGTGCCTGTGGCCTTGGCGAGCACTGGAGGTGTTGACATTGTTAGGAATCCAAAACCCTGCATGCAAAAAAAAAATTGTGTGTGTTTGCCTCTTATAGAAGATCTTGTTTGGCACAAAAAAGGGTTTTTAGGTATCATATACCTAAAACTGCTCCTAATCATTAGATTTGGATATGTAAAAATTCCAGTCATTATTGGTTGGTAATGGTTAAAATCGGCAACAAAAATTTAAATGGGCTTTTGGAAAAATAAACTAATTTTAGTGGTTTTATTTATTATTAGAATTGATATTACTTAGGACTAAAATGGATCTCATTTATCTTATAATATAAATATCTATTTATTATTGAAATTGACATTACTTATCACTGAAATTGATCCTATTTGCCACATAACGTGGCTGTATTTATTTACCTTTTTTTAAAATTATTACTTCTAAAATATGATACCCAAAATCACTATTTTTTGTAACATGGTTGGGACCTTTGCGGAGATTATAGCATCACAGTTGACCACCAAGAGTGGGAGTTGGGGGCCTATTCTCAAGTAAAGTGAATAAAAAATTGAAAGATTCACATGTAAATCTTAATAGGTGAACTTAGACTCCATTTGGGAACTTATTTTTTTAGTTAAAAAGTCAAAAAGTTATTCTTTTAGCCAAAAAAACAACAATTCATACCAAAAAGTTAAAGATTCTTTTTTCTCTCTACTTTTTGCACATCTTTTCGTAATTAGTCAAAAAGTCATCCCAAACATATAAGTTTTTTTTACCTACTTTTTTAACCAAATAGTCAAAAAGTTACTAAATTAGCTTGTTCCCAAACGAGGCCTTATTGTTCAATAAGTTCTATAATAATTAATGGTATCTTTCGTCAAATATCATTAAAAAAAAGTCACTAATTGTTAATTTTCAACAACCGTTTAAAAATTTTCACAAAAAATGTCACTTAATAAGTTTTAGCGACAGTTTAATAAAATCGTCATAAAAAAATTACTAATTTTTAACTTTCAGCAACA